AGAGAGAGAGAGAGAATCAGAGAGACAGAGAGAAAGAGAATCAGGGAGAGAGAGAGAGAGAGCCTCTGAGACTTTCCATAGGGTTCAGGCATGGCTGAGGGCTGTGGAGCTTTAAGGCCAACAAGCTTATGCAGTCCGAAAAAACACTTCATGAAGGTAATGTTGGCGTCTCTGTGCTAGGACGTTCCTACAGCTCGTCTTCATCATCCTCTTGCCGCCCAAGATTTTCAGGTTTAGTTAGGATGTAAGGTCTGGGGCGTGAAACGGAACACAGATCAAGGATTTCAGGTGTTTCTTTACTGCACTTGTTCACCGACTTGGTGGAGCTTGTTTGGAGATGGTCATGAACCTGGGTTGCTCTTTATTACCTTGCTAAAATTATAACTTTTAGTACCCCTAATACCAAAAAAAGCTAATCCTAAAAGTCATAACGCCATAAAGTGACTGTACCCTAAACCCTAAACCCTAAACCCTAAGCACTAAATCCTAAACCCTAAGTTCAACCAAGGAATATATGGTTGCCGAGCTGTATCCTCCAAAACGACACGGTCTTGCCCTCCATTGTCCAGCCAGCCGATTCTGCAACCCCCAAGTAAACCTTCCCCCAAATAAACCGCGAACCCTAAACCCTAAACCCGAAAATGTTTAAAACCCTAGACCCTAATGCCTAAAAATGTTAAAAACCCTAGACCCTAAACCCGAAAATGTTAAAAACCCTAGACCCTAAACCCTAAATATTTAAAAAACCTTAAATCCTAAAATGTTAAAAACCCTAAACCCTAAACCCTAATCCCTAAAATGTTATAGAAACCCTAAACCCTAAAATGTCAAAAACCCTAGACCCTAAACCCTAACATGTTAAAAACCCTAAACCCTAAACCCTTAAATGTTAATTAAAAACCCTAAACCCTAAAACCTAAACCCGACACACCCTAAAGCTCCTGCGGTCCAGCGGCCGCGTCCCGTGACCAGTACCATGCCGCTGATGATGCTGGCAAGAAAGTTCAGGGTTGTGGGCTTGGGGTTTAAGAACCCAGAGACTCCAAGGAATATACTGTAAATTATAATAGGAACCCTAATAAGATTTAAGGTATATGGCCGCCTGAGGGGTCAAAAAGATTCAGATCAAAGCTGGGCCCTCGGAAAATAACAAATAAAGCTCTTGAGTTCGCATCTGCCCACTGCGCATCTGCACACGTTGGTTCGCGCACATACATTTAACTTAGCCCTACTTGAAGCCGCATCCGTACTCTATGCCTCGGTTTTCTTACCTGGCACTGCTAACAGCGTTACTTACCCTGGCAGAAAACAGCTACTGCGCCTCTACCGTTTCTCCATCGGTGCGGGGACGAGCGTGCGGAGCCTGAACACTCAAAATTCTGGCCAGAACAAGACAACGCAACACCATAGCCTGCACATCGTCACGGGACACCCCTTCTGTCGGGCTTCGGCAGTCAATCCGACCCTAGAACGGTGTACCAGCACGGACAGGCCGCACATCACGCTGCAGTCCTGCGATGACGTGGAGTTTGCCTGCTGAACTGTCGACTGCAGTCGGCGAAGCACGTCCATATCACGCCTCAAGTCACAAGGGTTTCTCAGAACGACAAGCTCGCGATGCCGAGACCGAGGGCCCCTGGCCTTGCACTGCTCGTGAACGTCGACCAGGACCTCGAGAGATCCGGGCTTCTCCGCCGCCACTTCCAGGGCGACGTCCAAGGCGGTCTTGTCGCCCTCCTTCAACCAGATGTCGGCCTTGTGGGGCTGGGACCCTGATGTATAACCCCAACGAGTAGGATCCTTTTGAGAAGGACCGCCAAACAGGCATGAATTTCTCAAACTTTGCCAGATGTCGGCCTTGTAGGTGAGGAGCTGTCTGGCCACGGCCGTGTGGCCTTGAGCCAGCGCTCGGTGGAGCGCGTGCTTCCAGGCACAGTGTTGCCGTTTTCACTGTGCTTGCATTTGTTCATTTCCTGAAGGCAAGGACTACTATATAGAAACAAGCCTTGGCGTAGAGCAAAACTGAGATGGCAGCTTTTCGTGAGCGGAAATAACGAGCTCGTGTTGAAATGAACTGATCAAAAGGCGCACAATTAAACAGTCAACCACATCGACACGTCCAAAGGACCCAAAGCCTGTGTGTTTGGGTGCCCGTTGACCACCTTAACACATCAAACGCACACAAACAGTTGAACGTGCCAGCACTCCCAAGGTTCCGACAGCCGGCCGCAGGCCGTAGCCCGGGTGGCTTGGACCACCCTGACCGTCACAGTTGCGTGCATAATCAAACTCACAAAAATCACTCACGCGGAAGTAGCCTCGGGCCGGGATCGCACAAGGCCTATGCAAAGCACAGACCAGCGCGAGTCCACCATCAAACAGCTCGGCGGCCTTGGCGGGTTGCACGTCGCATAAAGCGGTCCTGGCCAAAAGCACATCAAGCGAACAACCGAGCAACATGTCACTGGTTTTCAGAAAGCACAGACAAAAGGAAAGCGGTGACCCAACGCAACGCAACCAAGGCAGAACAAACCGTCCCCCGGACCTTAAAAAAAGAAAAGAACCGAGCGCAGGGCGCTGCGAGGCACAACAATAAGCACCGCTAGACACGCAAGAAATGTCAACCAAGGCCGTCGCGCACTCGGCTGCAAACCAGTCCTCAGCATCAGCGCCATCAGCGCTGCGTCCACGCATCCCCAAACCCTGTCTCCACCAGGCGCTGGAATCACCGTGGGCCCAGTCTGGACCTCAAATGTGACTGTTTCAAGTCCGCGCGCAAATCCTAGTTCTGCCACACGCTGCAAGGCTGAGGCTGGCGTGACACACGCGGTACGACCGCGTGAAGGTTTGCCGCCGCGGAACTCGGCAAAAGGGCATTTCGTTAGCATTGCTTTTGGCAAAATGCATCTGCGATCAGTTTTGTCATGGATGTCACCCAAGCGTTTTAAACAGAACACAATGTCCCAAGCTCAGCATAGGCTGACATACATCTAAGGCAGTGACTCCAGTGAGCACGCATGGCCGCTTCCACCTACAGCAGTTGGACACCCACTGCACTCTGCAGAGGCATCGAAGACTAACATAGAAGGTGCATGCACGCGGTGCAAAATGCCACAGGCACGCAGACGCACCCACGCCCACCCACCCCCAAGCCGCGCACGAGAGACAAAGCACAACAAGAAGCTAAGCACCGAACATCAGCGCGCCAACCCTTCCGAACCTGCCAATTTTGGGAATCAAACATGGACTCGTCTGAGCGAGTTATATGTAAGCACAGGACGCGAAAGCCCAAGTCAGCTTCATAACGTTTCGCCTTGACACCAGCGCACGCATGACGGTTGGCTGAATAATTAGGCTTTAGGCAGCGTTGCGGATGAACATAGCCGCCACCGATACCGAGACGGAGACTCGTTTCGGCGGCCGCTTTTTCTTTGGCACACCCTTGGCCTTAACATCACAACATGCAAGCTCATCACGCTAGCAGGTTGAGAGAGATGTAATTACAATACAAGACAAGCTTTGAGGAACCAGTTGCACCCTGGGCGACGCCAGCCTACCAAGAAGTAACGCTGCAAATAAAGATTCGAGTGCTGTCACGACGAAACATCGTACCTCACACAACATGACAGTCTGTTCAGGCCTGGAGCCAGTCCAGGAACTCGCTAACCACGCGTCGTGTGCACAACTCGCCCACCCCACACTTTTCCCGCCCCTTGCCAAGCAGCATTACCAGACGTACACACAGACAAGTTCACGACACCCTGGGTTTCGAGGCCGGTCTGCTTCACGGGAACAGCCACAAACAAGCAGAACACGGCGATCCACTCCCGATGCACGGTGTAATCTTTGCTGAACAACCCGCCTCCACGAAGAGATGCCAGTCCTCAGCCTCCCGGACCTTACCAGTGGAACTCCAGCAGAGCATACCACGAACGTAATGCAAGTCCGGCAACGCACGGATCACTCCAGTCCTCGCCACAATGCCACATAAGGCCAGCACCCTCTTTCTGCGACGCCACACCTCATAGACGCGGCGAGGCCGATAATATGAGAGAACTCCTTGTTCAAACAGAAACCGAGTCCCGAGCCAAGACAAACATGAACACGGACGGCACAACCAACACGCACGACATCAAGGCTCAGATACAAACGTGCTAAGATGCGATGCGTCAGCATGTGGTACAGGAGGCGCGCTAGCAAGTAGGAAGGTGGAAGCCAACCTGTGTGTGTAATCATCTGCATGCGGTAATACTGTGAGATGTGCACGGTCGTTGCCCGCTTGCGTGAGTCACTTAGCTCAAGCCCTCGAGAGAAACTACGAATGCGAGCCGAGAAAAGCAGCAGAGATCGCACCGATGGACGTCATGCGCTGCCAGATTACGACGAGGAGCTGCAATTTCCAAGTGCATAGGTCCTTTACTCGCACAGTACCCTAAACCCTAAA